CCTCGCTCACCGAGCAGTATGGTTCAGTCGGTGCCCCCCAGTCTGGGGCTGGGAAATCAGGGCCCATGACTCACTGGTATAGAACTGCACCTCGCCATCCCTCACCCTTGGATCAAGTTGGACTTCTTAACCTTGGCCTGCCAGGGCTTGCGGCCTTGTCTTTGCCTGCCTCTCTGGCCTGCTCATCTGCTCTCATTCTTCTTCCCACACAGTGGCCTTCTGTCAGGCCCTTGGACATGCCAGGCTCAGTTCTTCTTGAAGACTTTGCACTTATGTTCTCCTCTGCTTGGAACTAGATGATTTTCTCCCAGATCCAGCGACATCGGCGTGGTTGGGGCCTCCTCATTCAAGGGCGAGGCCTCTCCAAGAGGCTCTGCCGGCGCCCGTGGCTCTCCGCTCCCCACACGATGCCATGGCCACAGTGCCGCGTCTCCCCGTCCCGCTGCTTGTCACTAACACCCCCCCACCGACTTACAGTAAATATATTTTAATAGCTCTGAGTTAGGGGTGACGCACAGGAAGTGGAATGTTCATTTCATGACTTCTTTATTGTCCTCAGGTGATATAAAAACAAGTGTATGATTTGATGATAGCGCCAGAGGTTGGATGAAACGGGGTATGTGAGGTTGTTCATTTACTTGCTTATGGTCTCTCACCCCTGGCAGGGTGTGTGCTCCTGAGCGCAGGGGCCAGGCCTCTTCGCTGAGGCTTCATTCACCACAGTGGCCATCCCCCAGCGGGTGCTTACTTAGCAAATACTTGATGAAGGGAGAGGGGCGGCAGTCACCAGGTCCTTAGCCAGGCCGTTTCCTCTGCCCCCTCGTGGCTGCAGCCTTTTTCTGCGCCAGTGCCCGCTTTTGCTGGTCAGCAGCCCTTGCCTGCAGCCTGCCTGGGGACTTTGCCAACCATCACCACCTCTTTCAGGCACCTCACACGTGTCCTCAGATCCCTGCCCCCACCTGCATGGGTTGTGGGCCTGTGCACATCCCTGAGGATACTCATCCCCTGCCCCGTCCCTCAGAAGACCGGTGCCCCTTAGTGGAGTCCACTTCGAGGGGGCAAAAAGGGAAGCAGTGCCTTGTGGTGTGCTGGTAAATGTTTACCCGCTGCTCTTCTCCCCGAAAAGTGCCCCAATTTGCTACATCTCCCTCCGTGGTCTATTTCAGTCTACTGTCATGAAGTCACCAGCCTGCAGAATCCTTGGACGTGAAAACATGCGCTCTCACCACCCCATTCCCGGATCTTCTTCCCGTGCAGCCTGTGATCATCCTTGAGGGCCTGCTGTGTCCCCACCTACCTGGGAGAACCTTTAGCCTCGCCCAGCCATTGCCTCCCACCCTGCCGGGTGTCCCACCTTGACCCTTTGTGGGGCATTTAGAATCAGAAAGGGGCATGTCTGTGGCCCTGCTGCAGAGCTTCCTGACTTACCAGTGCCCTGACTTGTGACGGGTCTGAGCTGCTGTTGCTGTTAAAAAAGGGAGCCAGAGAACTCAGGAAGGCACTTTCCCTTTTATAATCTGAGATTTTGTTATCTATAACCAAGCTAATTGGCTACTCTCTCAAAATAGCCTCTTTTCCTGATTTTCCTTCTTTTGTCATCCTCACTCAAGTTCTTCCACTCACTTGAGATGAAATTCCTTTTTCTTTAACTTGGCGCCCTCCTCTGCCCTCACCGCCGAGGCGGCCCAGACAAAGCCTTTCATTCTGTGCTGCCACCGCTGCAGGCCCTTGTCCTTTCATGACCAAGGGAACGCTCCCCACGCCAACATGCTCCCTGTAACACTGCTGATTCATCTTCTGAAAACACTACTGATGTTCTTTCCTGGCTCCGAAACCTCTGGCAACGCCCCACAATTGTTTCAGCTCTTCTTCCTGACTTCCAAACCTCTTTCCATGCCAGCTTCATCTAAGCCCGGTCTTACAACCCACACCTTCCAAAATGAGCCCAGGGCTGCCAGCACCCTGGCCTCTTACTGTCTGTCTGGGAGTCTGCTTGCCCTGTGCAAGATCCATCCCCCACAGCCCCAAGCCCCTCAAAATGCTGTAGCTCCTCTCCTAAATATTGCTTCTGTCATGAGAATCCATTCTGATGGATCTTCCTTGGGATGTCTTGCTGCTTTGGGGCAACTTCCTGTCTGTATTTTTCATTTGTCTTTGGTTCTTTTCATTTGTAACAGCTTTCCTGAGATGTGATTCACATGTCATGCGAGTCACTCATCTAAAATATGCATTTCAGTGGTTTTTAGAATACTTGTAGGTAGGTGCAACTGTTAGCAATCATTTTTAGTACACTTATGACATCCCCTAAAAACCTCTTATTCTTTAGCCATCAGACCCACCCTCCCACACCACCCAAGATATTTCTCTGTCCTTCACATCTCAAATAAGAGAAGTCATATAACATGTAGCCTCTTGTGTCTAACTTCTTTCAGCATTGTGGTTTGGGGTTCATCCCTGCTGTAGCAACAGCAGTTTATTCCTTTTTATGGCTGAGTAATATTCCACTGCATATTGTGACACATACTGTGATACATCACATTTTACTTATCCATTTATCAGCTAATGAACATGGATTGTTTCCACCTTTTGGCCATTATGGAGAATGCTGATATGAACATTCAATGTGCACTTTTTTCTGTGGATGTGTTTTTATTTCTGTTGAGTATGCAGACCCAGGAGTGGAATTACTGGATGAAATGGTAATTCTTAAGTTTTGCCTTTTGAACAACTTTCAGACTCTTTCCCACAGTGGCTGCAGTACCTTTATAGTCTTAGCAGCAATGTAGAGGGTTCTGATTTCTCCACATCCTTGCCAACACTTGTCATTACCAAGCTGCGATCATAGCCATCCTTGGGGGTATGAAGTGGTATCTCACTGTGGATTGAATTTGCCCTTCTTTCATGATTAATGATATTGTGCATCTTTTCATTGCTTATTGGTCATCATTTATATATCTTCTTTGGAGAAATATCTACTCAGATACTTTACCCAGTTTTTAATTGGATTATTTGTATGAGGTCTTTGTTCTAGATGCAGATTCCTTATCGGATATGATTTTCAAATATTTTCTCCCTTTCTCAGGGTTGTCTTTTCATTTGCTTGATTGTGTTCTTTGATACGCAAAACCTTTCAATCAATGAAGTCTAATCCATCTGGGTTTTCTTTGGTTGCTTGTGCTTTTGGTATCCTATCTATGAATCCACTGCCAAAGCCAAGGTCGTGAAGATTAACCCTTATATTTTCTTCTAAGAATTTCATTGTTCTATCTCTGACATTCAGGTCTCTGGTCCACTCTGAGTTGGTTTTTGTATAGAGTGTGAGCTAGGTCTCTAGCTTCATTCTTTGGCATTTGGAAATCCGATTGTTGTACCAACGTCATTTGTTGAAGAAACTGTTTTTTTTCCCACTAAATTGTTTTGGCACCCTTGTCTATTAACCACTGATCCTGGTGTGTATGTGATAAATTGATTGATGTGTCTATATATATACACATATGCACTTACAGGTTTATTTCTGGATACTTCTCTTCCACTGCTGTATATACTTAGTCTTCTCTCATCTTATATATCATGAATTAGCTATTTGATCTATTATACTAGAGGGACTAAATTATTATTATTATAATCTTTAGTCACTAAAGAAATGCTCATGGTAAAAATAATTGAACACAGATGTAAGAAGTGGGAGGAGATCCAGGTGCTCCTGCCCTGACTTGAGGGACAGAACCATCGCGAGTGTTTTGTATGTAGACTGGACAGACACAGGCGTAGCGTATGAACATATGTGTGAAGACTCAAATGCAGCTCACATTTGTATATATGTATATATGTATATATTGACATTTCAGCTACATTTGTATGTGTCTGCATTTTTATAATTGTGTATGTCTTTTTACAAAACGGAATATTCTGTGACTTTAACAATCAGCAGTGTATCCTGTGTTGTCTTCCGTGAAGGTGCGTACTTGACTGACCTCATTCTTTTTTAATGGGTCCATAATATCCCATGGAATATTTACACCATCAGGTCTCTAACCAGCTCGCTCCCATTGTTGCATATTTATGTTGCTTCCTCTTTTTCCCCTATTCTGATGCCACTCTGTACGTATGGGAGCACTTCTCTCAGCTGGATACCTGGAAAAGTGGAGTTGCTGATCATGGCTTTTGTCTTAAAATCATTTTTAATGTCTTCCTCTCAGCTGTGCTTTATGATGCCTTGCACATATTAGGCATTTAATAAATATTTACTGAAGTGAACTCTTAAGGGTTTTTATTCTGGATTTATCCCTAGCTTGCTATTTCATTTCAGTAAACTGTTTTATGACACCCTCATGCCTATTTCACTTCCTCTCAAATGAATGAAAGCTTTGGTTAGCCACTCTTTGTTAGGGGGAGCTAAGGTGGAGTGAGTCAAGTTTTGTTGTGATGGTCTCTTTTGTGTGTGGCACAGGGTGGGGGGGGCGGGTACACAGAGGTGAGTAGGAGGTAGCTCCAGGTATTTACACACCATTAGGATGAGGCAGGTAGGACATATGGTACTTCCCTAGGAGACACACTTGTTCTAGTGGGAGTATAAAGGTAGGGGAGAAATGTAACTTGGGTGCTACCAGAGAAGGCTTCACAGAGGAGGGGGCTTTGTGATGGGGGAAGGGTATGATGTGGAGAGGTGGAGATGTACCAGGGGTGGGGTGGGGGGCTAGCGATACATCTCTATAGAGCAGCAGCGTGCAGGATTTACAGGAGGTAAATTTGGGTCCCCTGCACAGGGGGAGCAGTAGGAGATGAAGCGGGAAACGATTGGGGGTATGCCCCGCTCAGCCAGGAATCCAGACAGGATGGTACTCATCTGGTAGGTGTTGGGTACCACCAGGTTTTTGAATACAGTTATGATCACTGGAGTTGGTCTTGAGGAAGGTGTGCCCAGTATATCTGGGGCAAGGGTAAAGGGTCTTCATTTCCAGAGATTTCTGTGATGTAACTTCTCTCCATTCTTCCCTTAGCTGTCTGAAAATGTGGTTAATCGCATGAAGGATCCCAGCCAGCCCTCCAAAGTGGGTCAGCCAGTTCCTCCTTGCACCCCACCTTCTTCATTTGGCACCTCTAAAGGCCCACAGAAAGGTACGGTGGGGAGCTACTAGTCTGCGGCAAGGGGCAGAGAGTGTGAGAAGAAAGAGGACAGTGGTCGCGATGGAGCATATCAACAGTAACGGGGCTCCCTCTGCTTCTGGGTGATGTGAGCAGTTCCTCCCAGGGCAGCGGGGCTCCCCAAGCCTGGTGGTCACTGTCTTCCATGATGAAATTAACACAGATTTAGGCCCATCTTCTGTGGCTGGGGCCAGACTGTTTCCCCTCACTCTGTTTCAGTCTACCTAGATGCTAAAATTAAGTGAAAGGGCTTGGTTTTTAAGGATCCCCAGAAGAAGCATAACCATTATTACTGTTTGGTATGTCCTACAGAATGATTGCAAGTTCTATGAACTGGGGAAGGTAGGGGGAATTGCGTTGATACCTTTGGCATGAAACTCGAGTTTTGGTCCTGGCATGGCTCCTCGGACACTTCATGCTGGGCTTCTAGAAGGACCTACCACCTTGCACCTGCCAGGAGCTTCGTTCCCTCTTCTGTTGTAACCATTGCAAATGAAGAAAAGTGTGCATTTCTCCTTTGTGTTAGCAAACGCCAAGGAACAAAAATATTATGATATTACAAATGGAAAGCTCCTTGGAACGACTGCTGTTCCACTTGATAAATTCTTGTGCATGAGAATCTGGGTTTTTGCTATACCTGTAACTTGAATTTTTTCTCATTGATTGGCTCGAGGTGGCCGTTGGCATCATTCATCTGGTGTGTGGTCTCATGTTAGAGTTGTCTTTGCTGCTGCTCTTCCCTGTTAGGCAGAACACTGCTGAAAGGCACAAGCCATGTCCACTCAGTACTTACCCAGCTAGCCAGTGACCAGGCTGCACCATTCTGATGGCATCCAGCTCTAGTTAAGGAGCCTGAGGTGTCTGTTGTAGCTTATGGTGTGATACAACGACACATTTCTGGAAGCATGCCCAAGGTCCAGGGTAGCATGGAGGAGAGAGTGACTCATTATTTTAGAGAGGGGCTTGAAGGGGAGATGACTTCTGAACTGGGTTTTGAAACTGGGTTTAGGCTGTGGTGAACAGCAGAGCAGAGGCCCAGAGGCATGGCATAGCCTGTCTGGGGACTCGGAAGTGGTTTGCTATCTCTGGAGTACTGGGGAAGGGAGGTGGCACGTGGTGTTCAGGCCCAGGATATGGAAACGTGTGTGCCATGCCAGAGAGCCCTGGCATCATCCTCACATCCACACCTCGGGCTCCTTAACTAGAGCTGGATGCCATTAGAAAGGCTGTGCCCCAGCACTGGGCACATGGCCTGGTCAGCAGCCAGCACTGGTAAGTACTGAGCAGACATGGCTTCTGCCTTCCACAGTCTTCTGCCTAACAGGGAATAGCAGTAGAAAGCCAGCTAAGATTCCTTACACCTCTACCCCTGTATTGTCTGCCTCAGGCCTTCCCAGAGCAATAGAGCAAATCAATTGTCTGGATTTGGATTAGCCTATGATCTTTTTGAATATCTACCAAGGGGCTGAATGATATTCTTAAAACCTACAGAAGACTTCCTTGTCCTGAACCAGAAGGCTGAGCTCCCCCTGGCATTTCCAGCCAGCTGATGAGAGGGGTCTAGTAAGACTCAGTCCGCTTAAATAAACTGGATTAACTGGGGAGAGGGAGAAAACGATGAAAAAGCAAACATAGCCAAAATATATTGTGCATGTATCAGTGTGAACTTTGAAAGATAAAAGAAGCATTTGTTTCAATTTTGGTAAGTTTCAGCAGTTTATAAAGTCAGAATGGTGGTTCATTTGCCGTTTGGTTTTCGTTATAACAAAGTGCTTTGCTCTTTCAAGGCTAAGTGTGAATTTGAGTCGCTGAATGCTGAAGAACAGTCAGCATAAATGGACTGTCTTGAAGTTGACTAATTCTAAGATACTTTACTTTTAAAGTCAGTTTTTGCTTTTATTTTAGTAATGGAACAAGATTAGAAAAAGAAGTTAAAATGAAATCCTTATGTCACACCATACTCCAAAATAAACGTTAGAGGAAATAACGATTTCAATGTAAGAATCGAAACCATAAGAATACGATAACAAGTTGACTTTTTAAGCTCCCCAATCAAGTGAAGAAACCTGAAATTAGGAAGGAAAGTGGGAAATATGAGCAATTTGATTTGATTTAGAAAAAATAAATGAATCTTGAATTATAAACTAAGGAAACAGCATTTTCCCTTTAACTGCAGGGGATATGTTCCAACACCCCCAGTGGATGCCAGGACCTTGAGTGCTACCGACCCCTACACACACTGCTCTTCTGTGTGGAGGTTTAATTCAGAGCCTGGGATCAGAAGAGATTAACAGCAGTAACTCCTCATTAAATAGAACAATTATAGCAATTACTGTAATAAAAGTTATATGAATTTTGTCTTTTTCTTACTCTTTTTCTTTTTAAGATACTTATCTTATTGTATCTGGTATTTTTCAGGCCATGGTTGACTGTGGGTAACTGAACCTTTGAATCAGTGGCCTGCAGTACAACATGACAGAATATTAGTAGTCTCATCATATAAAGAGTTCTTAAAGATCTTGAAGACAACTCAATAGAAAAGGTGCACAAATGGTCATGGACATGTGATATCGCCACTTCACTCATGATTAAGGACGCATGTTAATTAATGAGCGAGGGAGCAGGGAATGAGCAGGTGGGGCAGGGGATTAGAGCCACAACAGATAGAATTTGTAGTTATAACAAAGGAAATTTCTATAAAAAGCAAAATGAATATGATAAATTCTGCCTCAATAAAGGTGCTGTAAGTAAATAAATAAGAACAGGGAGCTTTAATCACAAAAATCAGGCGGCAGAGAACCCTTCTCTCATCCCCAGTTGAGAACCTGGCTGGTTACTCAAGAGCATTTAGCTGTGCCCTCCTGGCAGCTGGAGCACTGCTGGGCGTCCTTCTGTGCGAGCCCGTCTGGAATCATAGGTTGATTACTTTGGGCAGTGCCTCCCTGAAGGGTTGAGTGCCTTTGAAAGGTCTTGGGAGTCAATAACAGATCTTCACTTATTATTTCACAAAGGCTGGTTCTTCTGTAATATTTTGTCTGTCCTAATCACTGCTGCTTTAGAATCCTAGGAATGGATATAGGAGAGGCCGATACAAGGCCACAGAAAAGTGTGCAAATTTGGCTCAAAGGTGTTTTGGGAAGGATGGAGGCTGGGGTGGAGGGTAGGGAGAGTCAAAGCTTTCAGCATCACCAAGTGGCTCAGAGAGTAGAGTGAACTCGATTTACTCAGAGATCCTCGAGTTTAATGCCGTCAAAAAGGTAGACCTGCTGTAACAACCCACAGCCTGGTAAGACTAGATGTGGATTAGTGTTTGCCACATTTGCATTGCAAGTCTGTAGATGGGGTACTCAGGGAAAGAAGGTTTAAGAGGAGTCCCCCACCATGCCAAAATGTAGACCCCAAGGCTGCCTTTTCAGCTTGCAGCGGAGCAGTTCTGCAGCCCCTGCTGGCCTGTGCATGGGGATGACCTAGATCCTGGTGTGGGGTGATGGGTGATCAGGAGCACTGTGCTCTGAGGCTCTGCCTGCTTTGGGCATCACAGTGAGCAGTCCTGGTGCAGAACTAGGGCACCAGGGGCCATGGGCCTCATGTTCTCCCATGGGTGAGGTCAGTTACAATACTGGATGTGCTGTGTGTCCCTCCACAGGGTGCTGTCTGTGGAGTGCACTCCCAGGCCCTTTCCTGGGTGACCACTATGACTTGATTCTGGGGTGCTGCTGACAATTTTTTCTAACTTTGCAGATACCAAACAGCCCAAGTCAGAGCACAGTGGAGACCAGCAGCCCTTTGGGCCAGAGGATCTCCTCAGGAGGTGAGTGTGAGTGCCTACTGGGGCTGACCACCCGATGTGCTGATGGCCTGAGGGTTTGTCTCCCTCCTTGTCTGATAACCCTAAAGAATAGGTGGTGCTGATCTTAATTGAAAGATGAGGAGACACCAGAAGGCACGTGGGAGAGTTGATTGTTGATGTTCTTAAAAATTCACTTTCCAATGCTAGGGAGCACTAAATAGACGAGTAGCTGGACCATTTGTGCCTGCGCAGTGTGCAGGCACTTCACAGCGCTAGGAAGAAGAGAGCGCAGCCTTCACAGGACCTTGGTGACTTCCCATCAGCACAGACCACAACCCGAAGTGCCCACCCCACCTTTGAGACTCCCACACTGAGGGGGAGCTGCTCCCTCTTAGAGTGGTTAAGTGGTTAATCCATCCTATGACTACAGGCTGCAGTCTGAGGCTGTGACATACTGGTTATGTGACCCTGGATAGTCATTACATCTCTCTAGTCCTCTGGGAAAGGCACATTGATTGGCATTACCTCCGCTATTGGGGTGTTATCATGAGTCAACATGGTAATGCAGGAACGCTTGAGCATAATGCCTGGCACATGGAGTTCTCAGGGAGTGCTGAGGTGAGGATGGTTGACTTCTTCCGTATCCCTGAGGATGTTGACCTCTGGACGGTCGAAGGACCCAGTGAGTTAGCTCCTGGTTCCCTGTAGTGGATCAGCCACGCCAGTCTGTTCCCTAGTCATGATTAATTCTAAGAATTTTCCTTCCCTGATCCTAAGCAGTACCTTCAAGAATAGCTTTCCTGAATCTTTTTCTTTGTGCTTTTAAACATTTTAAAAATGTTCACGTAATATGCTTATGAAAGACTTAGAAAATTCATAAAACGAAAAAAATTGGTAGACTTATCTTACAATAACCACTGCTAACATTTTGGAGTGTTTTTTCAAATGTCTTCTCTCCCCTAGCTTAGGATTACCTGTTCAAAGTTATATAGAACTATATATTGCTATTTTACTTAGTCTTGTAATTATTTTCTGCTTGGTGCACCTGCTTTATAAACATTTTTATTGCTAAAAGTATTATTTATTATTGGGCTTCAATTTTCAGGTTCAACCTGTAGATGAATCAAAGAATCCATTTTGAATGGCGATGTGATACACCATTGTTTCTTTGATGTGGGCTTGCTTGCTGGACATTTGAGTTGTTTGGATTATTTTACAAGATCAGTAGTAGATCAAAGGGTAGAAACACATTTAGGATGAAAGTTAAATGTTTAAAACAAAGGGCTGCTCAATGTGGATGGAGCTAGAAGGAATTATGCTCAGTGAAATAAGCCAGAAGGAAAAAGAAAAATTTCAGATGATTTCACTTATAATAGGAATATAGGGGAACCAAATAAGACATCAGTGTAAAAAAAATAATAATAGTACAAAACACAACAAAGCAAAAACGGACAATTATAAACCAGAGACATCCTGCAGGGGAGGAAGAGGGAGAGGGGTGAGAGGAGGGAGTGAGGAGCACAGGGGACTATGGTGATGGTGCACGGGTGCCTTGGGGAAGGAGACTCTATGGGGACTCAATCTGGGGGGGTCGGGGGAAGCAAATATTGTCTAAAAAATGTAAAAAATGATAAATGTTAAAATAAAAAAAAATAAAACAAAGGGCTGCTGCTCTCAAAACCTCTCAAGCTCTTGAGCGGAGGCTGGGGACACTGGGGTCCCCACCCTGCCAACCCCCTTGGTAGGCGTGGTTGGCCCGGGATCGAACCTCTGCCCTGAGGATCCTTATTGGGCCTATGACTGCCTGACTCCTTACCTAGTGGTCTGACCAGGTCTCCTCTTCCTAGTGTATACTAACCTAGCAGAGAAAGTATCACTATATTCCCTCCCTCTGGGGACTGGCACTGATGCCTGGCCTCAGAGGGGCTCATAAGGAGTGTGGGGTTTCCCAGCCTTAGAGTCTCCTGGTCTGCTGAAGTGAGCATGCAAGCCTTTCCTGCATTGCCATTCCCCAGCCGTGCTGTCTGCATCTGTTTTTCCCTTCTCCCTTCTGGCACAGGTATAAACAGGAGCAGGCCACATTCCAGGAAGAACTGTTCCAGGTGGCAAAGAGGGAAAGAGAGGCAGCCAGGAAGCACTGGAGTGAGTCCCCACAGACTAGGGAGGGCTGTGCTGACCAGGAGAAGCTGAAGGCAGCCCAGATGGTGAGTGCGGCTCTCCCAGAGCAGGGCGTGTGTGCTGGCAGCACTGGGAAGCAGACCTTGGGCCCTGGGACCTGATCTGTCTGGGGCCTCCCTATGGGGATGGGGCCTGCCTCTTGGAAAGGGTGTCTTTCTCCAGACCATAGACTTAGAGTCTTCCAGCCTGGCTCTTTCACTGACTTGTGTTGCTGCCTCTCATCTGTGTTCTTAGTGTTTGCAGACCTCGGGCCTGCACACTAAGGGGCTGGTCATCCGATGCTTTGCTCTTTCCCTCTGTGTGCAGCGGTGGAATATGTGCCCGGAGGGTGTGAAGGGAGAGGACTAGGGACTTGAGGCCATGAGATAAACAAGATGGAGAGCATAATTTTCAGAGTCAGGTAGTGTGGGTGCAAATTCTAGCTCCCTACTCACCATTTTGGGCGCATCTCTGATCCTCTGAGAGCCTTGGTCAAGATCCTGACATTTGCGCATAGAATTACCTGAGGGATGCGAGGAGTGGATACTGTCCAGGGCTTAGCATGTACCTGACAGATCCTGAGAGTGTGCTGTTGCTGCTATTACTACATTTAACTGATGGAAGGGTATTACTTAGGATTCGTCCTGCAGTAAGTGAAGGCTTTATTCCCAAGCTCAAGGCTCTAGGAGTGCTCCACGACTGACTGATTCAGCAGCTCACTGGTATCTTCAGGGACCCTGGTTCTTTTCCTTACGCTGAGTTCCTCAGGGTGTCTGTGTAGCCTGGCCTGTGCAGCCTGGCCTGGCTGTCCCCACAGTTAAACCACGGCTGCTTCTGCCCCAGGTCTCATGCAGACAGGATGACACTCGGCAGAAGTGTGGCTGTGTTGGCTCTGTCAGCAGGGAGCGCTTACCAGAAGCTCCGAGAGGAAGTCCTCTTCCATCATTGGCCTGAATTGCACCAGGTTCCACTGCCCCGTGGCTAGACCACTCCTCAGTGAGGGGACAGGGAGGGCCTGCTGACTGGAGCCAGGCTCTTTTCTAGTCACATTACCTTGGGGAGGGCCAGGACTGATAGCAAGGAAGGGCAGAGGTGGAGTGGCAGTTGGCAGCCCCTAATCATAGGCTTCGGAGGCCAGGAGACCAGAGCAGCCTTGCCCTGCTTTAAGTGGGTGGCTTGTGGCTTGCTGTGCTCCATGGAAGGAAGTTGGAGATGATGTGACACTGCCATTTTGGATGGCCCTCCTGGGAGCAGAGGCGTCTGCTCAGCGTTCAAAGTATGTGGTAGGCACATAAGAAATGCTGGTTGAACTAGGCCTTTGGGAAATACAATGTCAGTAAGTGATCCTGGGGATATTATCAGCCCAGTCGGGAAGATAGACTTTAACCCAGAAATGTGAAGAAGGTTCCAGTCGGGTACAGTGACTGAAATGGAGGTACAGGCTGTACCTCGGGAATGTGGGGGGCATTGGTGTGGGCAGAGACACATTCTGCTTGGCCTAGAGTGATGTGTGGTGTCCTGGCCGAGGGGGCAGACAGGCAGGTGTCGAGGAGGTGGTGGGACATAGGGAGAGAAGCGAGTGGGTGTGAAGCCAGGCTGTAGAAGGCCGCAGCCACCGTGAGGAGCTGACCACAAGCAGCCTGCAGCCACTCTGAAACAGTGGGGGGTTTCCAGAAGCTGGTAGGGAAGGACGTGGCAGGAGGTGACTTGTGTGTTTAGAATCCTGGGGCGTGCTGGCGATGACTTGGCTCATGCAGGGAGGGATGATGTGGTTTTAGAGGCTCACATGGTGAGTTCCTGAGGGGCAGGCAGGTTTTACCTCTGTACAGGCCTCTGACAATCAAGTCCAAAGGACCCTGGTCCTGGAGATGAAGGGTTAATTAGCATGGCCCCAGCAGTCAGCACTGACAGATGGGAAACTGCAGCCACTTGGTGTAGCAGGTCTGCACTCTCTTGTGGTAGTGGCAGCGAGAGGGAATACCCAGCTTCCCTTCCTGCCCTCTGCTGCTGCACAGAAGGTTGGTCCCCCCTCCTCAGACCCCTCAGGGGAGAACCTCTACCCCTCCAGGGGGCAGGGGGGCTTGTACACCCTCAGGTGTTGGGTTTTTTAATGGGGGGTAACTAGCACAAAGAAGGTGCATTCTTTCTCGATTTCCTTCCTCCCAAGTACCTAGGGAATAGTAGAGTAAGTGACGTCCTTCATTTTGAAAATAGTTCTTAACTGCGTTTGGGGGCATTTCTGTTTTTTGATCATTGAACATCCAACTTTCTGCGCAGTTGCAGCCTCTGCTTCCTTTCGGGAACTTAGCTGTTTCCAGTCGTGTGGTGGTGGGATTACCGCTCCAGTGCCTGGCTTCCTCTGCCGAAACTACGTCTCCCCTACCCATGATGGCAGGAGCGGGGCCCAGTGAAACCCCTCTCTGGGGTCGTTCAGTCTCCACTGAGTGATGAGGCTGTGCTGACCAGGCCTCATGCTGCAGGGCCATGTCTTCTGCTCTCCAGCCCCTCTAGGTGCACTTGGTCTGGTCCTCCTGCTGTCTGGAGAGTTGACCATCTGCTGGTAATCCACCGTCAAGTGGCTGTTGTTGGTTTCTCCTGCTTGGTGCTGTCGCAGATACGAAGCAACACAGGAGCCTACTTAGGGGTGTGCCCCCCTGTTCTGTACTCTACATGAACAGAAAAGGGAAGCTGGTACCAGGTGCTGTTCTAAGGTCACCTGGGGCATGAGGTGCAGAGCCATAGCCACCACTTCTGATGGGGTTGGTGTGGCTACCAGGTGTTTGCAGTAGAGATGATATCAGATCTGTTCTTTAGAATTTAAAATAAGGGGAGAACCACGGGGAAGAACCTGAACAGGAGCATGGAGAATTTTCCTTCCTCAGGTGTCTCCCACATTGAGAGGATTGAAGGGTCTGCTGGGCGGAGTACCTGAGGCCCTCGTGTCTGGATCCCAGCACATGCTCCCAGCCATGCGTCCACCGTGTGCCCCGAGGCCCACCTGGCGTGATTGCTGGCGGGTGAGCTGGTTGCCCGCTTCTCCTCGTGTCTTCTCTGCCCAGCGGGCTGGGCCCCTACCCTGGGCCGGTAGCCTGGCCTGGAAGCCTTCCTCTCGAGCGCGCTGAGTGCAGTTTGACATTTAATGTGCTCTTCTGCCCCCTCTCTCTGCCTTTTGCGATGTCACCACATTGATTTTTTTTATTCCCCTTCTGCATGAGGGGATGATTCAGCTCATCATTGGGAAAAGTTCATAAAACTAATGACAAGGAAAGGTAATAATTTTTATAACCCACTTTTGATGACAAAGGTGTTAACCATTTGTATCTAGTGCAGTAGCACTGAACCACTTCTAGCGTGTGGTGCTGCTTCCTGTTGCCTGCAGAGTGCAGAGCCCCAGTTTTAATTGGGGTGAAGGCCCTGGTGTCCCTTGAGCCTACTGAGGTGCACTTCCCACTGAATTGGGGGGAGGAAGTTTGGGGTCCAAATCAAACATTTTGGAGAGAAATAGGAAGAACCAAGGTTTTTTGGGCTGAATCTTCTGATGGGGGAACTTGAAAAATCCAGTGGGTGGAGTGATAAAGGTCTGGCAGAAGCTTTCCTTTAGGGGAGAATGACATTTATGACCTTGCCTGTTGGTTTCTGACACTTTATTAGGTATATGAGATGCCAGTGCACCTGATAGAGAGTAAAAGCTTTCATTTCTTTTTGTTTGGTGAGCAATTCTTTTACACACACACACACACACACACACTGTGCCTATTGTATGTTACACACTGGGTTACCATCTCGAGAAATGGAAGTAAATGAGGGTCAGCTCCTGTGCTTGAGGACGATGTTTATTTGGAGAGCTGAATCTTCTCAGAAGTGACTGTGCAGTTGTGCCAGGGGACAGGAGGTACCCGCGGAGGGAGGAGGCAGCAATACCACCTTTTTCTGCTTGGATGGGACCGTCTTCTCAGAGGAGGTGACATCTGAGCTGGAGTTTTCCAGGTAGAGAAGAGTGAGCAAGGTGAGCGACGGACACTGGGAGAGCAAAGGCCCAGTGCCAGGAAGGGACAAGCCATTTGGCTGGGGCCTCAAGAGGGTGGGTGTGGCAAGAAGGTGGCTCTAAGTGTGGGCGTGGAATGAAATTCTGGAAGTCTGATGGGGGAGATTTGGGAGCAGTTTTCTTACTCTTCAAAGGAGGACCAACCACAAGCAGAAAGAGCCTCTCCTACAGAAGGTCGAACACTGGGAAAATTCTTAAATGGCACATAAAAAAGTGGGGGCCAAACCACTGGACAGAAGCCAGTGGAGGCGCTAGTCTACCCCGGGGTGCCTGTCCCGCCTAAGGCCATGAGAGTGTTCTCCTCACGGCTCAGGTTTGCGGAGGAGTTTTGATCTGTTTTTTTTGTACCCTTTTCACTGTTCAGCTGTCTAAGAAGCTGTGACCTTATGAACTCTGTAGTCATGATTTTAAGAAAATGTCACATTCACAAGTTTGTGAATTGCAATTACTGAAATCATGAGAGGAAATCATGGGTTTACTGGAGCTGTAGCCCGTCTCCCTGGTTCTTTGTAAGGCTCGTTTTCTTCAGATCACAGATTCCTGAGGATGGGACTGTGGCTGATCGTCTCGGAGTGCTGCATGGATAGTTATAGAAGGGCAGGTCTAAAGTGGAGGGGGATGTGTCGCGGCAACTCCCACTCTAGAGACTTCTTTTTTTTTTTTTTTTAATATTAAATTTTATTTTTATATTCCCCCATACAATTGCAAACGCCCCATTCTGACCCCAATCCTTCCCCTCCCGCCCCCCACCCCCCAAAAAGTGTCTCTGGTTCATAGTTTTTTGTTGATTTTGATTTTCACTTTCTTATATTCATTTTTCTGGTCCCTTATTTAAGTTTTCTAGATTCCTGCTATGAGTGAGACCATCCGGTATTTTTCTTTTTCTTTTTGGCTTATTTCGCTGAGCATGATCCCTTCCAGTGCCATCCATGTTGCTGCAAATTGCATGTGTTTATCTTTTTTGAATGCTGAGTAATATTCCATGGTATATATGTACCACAT